CCTTGTTGTTGTTCAGCAGCCTGCCACGCTTTGCCAACCTTGAGACTTTCAGTGGACTTGAATTAATGGCCTGCCATGTGGTTTGGTAACACTGGGACTGTGCCTTTTTACTTGTCAAGTTTGGGCTTGTCAGCCTCAGCAGGCAGCAGCTGTCTGAGTGAAGAAAAGCCTCTAGCTCCAGTGGGCCGGGAGCAGGAGGCAGAGCTGAAGCCCAGGGTCGAGAGACTTTCACCCAGCCCCTAGAGCCTGGCACTTTGACTCCTGTCCGTTAAAGCCGTACCATTTGTGGTATATTCCTGTTAGAGCGATGCTGGGTAACCAGAACAGGTCCCAAGCCTTCCTATCACATTTTCTAATTATACACTTTTTGATGGATTATTTGATTAATATCCATCTTACCTACTAACTACTACTAATAATAGTAACTAAGATACTGATCACTTAGTTTGTGATCGGCACTTTTGTGCATCCTAATTTCACCCTCTCAACAATCTGTGTTGGATGTAATTATTGCCCCATTTTATACCTGGAGAACCTGAGGAGTAGAGAATGTAAGTTACTTGCTTACCAGGCTGGAAATTCCCAGAGAGAAGAAACCGTGTGTGTTTTGCTCATTGAGTCCAGAAGTACTGAGTCCATGCCTGGAATACAGTATGCACTCAATAAATGCTTGGTGGATGGACGGGTGTGTAGATGGATGGAAGGAAGAATGGAGGGAGGAGGAGGGAGGGAGGGACGGGTGAATGGGTAGGTGGGGGCATGTCCGGAAGGGGTAGAAGGGCTGGGAAGGGCAGCCGTCTGCAGTGCCCACGCTCTGCTGCAGGTGGGACACGCTCAGATTCAGGGCTGGCAGCACATCTGACATGGCTTTCCCGTGTCTCTGCAGGTGCCACCATGCACGTGAAGAAGTACCTCCTCAAGTGCCTGCACCGGCTGCAGAAGGGCCCCGGCTACACCTACAAGGAGCTGCTGGTGTGGTACTGCAACAACACCAACACCCACGGCCCCAAGCGTGTCATCTGCGAGGGGCCCAAGAAGAAGGCCATGTGGTTTGTGCTCACCCTGCTCTTCACCTCCCTCGTCTGCTGGCAGTGGGGCGTCTTTATCAAGACCTACCTGAGCTGGAAGGTCAGCGTCTCCCTCTCCATTGGCTTCAAGAACATGGACTTCCCTGCTGTCACCATCTGCAATGCCAGCCCCTTCCAGTAGGTGGTCCCTGGAGCGCACAGTGCACCTCAGTGGAAGTAAAACAAAAAACCAAACTCACTGCCATAGATCCGATTCTGATCCGTAGAGATCCCCCTTTGGGTTTCTGAGGCAGCATCACTGTGGAGATAGATTGCCCAGTCTTCCTTCTGCAGAGTGGCTGGTGGGTTTGAACCACCACCGTTCTGGTTAGCGGTCAGATGCCTTAGGCACTGCACCACCAGACCCTGCCTCAGTGGAGGGGCTCTTTGTCCCTCTTTTTTGATACTGGATTTCCTCCTTCCTTTTTCTTCCCCTTCCTCTCTCTCTCCTTCTGCCTTTTCTTGTTCTTTATTCCATTTGTCTCCTTTCTCTTCCTTTCCTTTTTTCTTTCTTTCCCTCCTTTTTCCTCTTCCCTCTGTCTCACTTTTGCAACAAGTAAGCTTCCAAATTCAGAAACTTCTTAAGTTTAAAGAGAATCTCAAAAAAATCAGGTTCTGTCTCCATGAGAAGCCCTATTGGTGCAGTGGTTATACACTCAGCTGCTAACTGGAAGGTCGGTGCTCTGAACCCGTGGGAGAGAGATGGGGCAGTCTGCTTCTGTTAAGAGCACAGCCTTGGACACTCTACACTCTATGGGGCAGTTCTGCTCTGCCCTGTAGGGTCGCTGTGAGTCAGAATCTACCCAGTGACAGTGGGCTTGGGGTTTTTTGTTTGTTTGTTTGTTTGTCTTCAGGCACTGAGCACCTATGGCGTGCCAGGCACTGTTGCAGGCACTAGGGATACAGCAGTGAACAAAACAAAGTCTCTGCCCTCTTCACAGCCCAGCAGAGAAAACAGATGCTATTTTTTTTTCCCACAAATTCTGAATTAATTAAAATTGTGATGGTTTTTAAAAGGTAATGACTATGCAGCAAGTGTTTGTGATGTGCCAGGCAGTGTGCTGGGTGTTTTTGTTCAGTAATGTCTGCAATTCTAATCTGTACAACCACTCTGAGGTGGGCCCTGCTATGGCAGCCCCAGTTCTCAGACTGGAGACGCAAAGAGGTGAGTTAACTTGCCCAGGGACAAATAGTGGGCAACTGTGGGGTTCAAACCTATGCCTGAGTTCACTCCAGAGTCAATAGTTTTTAACCATTCTACCTTGTTACCCCTTCCCCACTTGATAACAGGGTCTATGAAGGGGACATACGAGGAGGCCTAACACAGTTAGGACTGGGGAAAGGCAGTGAGAAATGAGTTAACAAGTGGATTGGAGAAGGCACCCCAACTGGAGGGCATAGCATGTGCAAAGGCCCTGGAGTGAGACATTGCAGGGATGGCAACAAGGGCAAGTATGGTTGGGCCACAGAGAGCACATCGTTGTCCAATAGGGGGTCCTGGGCAGGAAGTCATACTCCCAGTTATTCGAAAGTCCCTCCTTCCTAGTGATGGTGCTCCTGCTGTTAGTGAGTCTTAGAGCCACTTGAGAGAACCCTTAATAATAATAGTGACAACAGCACTGTGTGCCAGTTCCAGCTCCAAGTGCTCACCTTACAGAATCCATCCAACAGCCCTCTGAGTTAATATTTTTACACCTCTTCCCATATCTGAACAAGAGAACAGAGCCTCAGAGGGGTTGACTCTCCCAAGGTCACACAGATACTAAGGGGCCTGCCAGAATTCCAACCCAGAGCCTACATAGTGGCCGCCAGGCTCCACAGCTGCTGTAATAACACTCAAGCGCTCCAGCCGCCACCCTTGCCAATCCTCCTCCTCCCGTGTGCACACGGCCAGCAGACGGGTGGTGTCAGAGTCAGAGACTGCTGTTAGCCCTGGCCGCTTTATACCTTTGTACCAGGGCCTTGGCCCCTGGCCAGGGCTTACTGAGCCCCTGCAGGGAGTCTTCCAGCTGGAGCTGGCCCATACTGCCCTAGTGACCACCCTGCTGCAGGGTCTTGGTGAATTGGGGATGAGGTCACTGGGACGCAGGACCTGGCGACCCCTGAACACAGGGCATGGCAGGGACACTCTGCAGTGTGGACACGTTTCTGCCAGGCTCGCTGCTCACCATCGCCAACACTGGATCCCTGGGAAGTGCGAGAAGATACTGGAACCCCACCTCTGCCCCACTGGCCTTCTCCCTCCTGAAACTAACTCCTGTTCCCAAAATTGCCACTTGGGATCTAGGAGCCTCAGGATCACATGCCACACCTCCCAACACGCTCTGTCCCCTCCTGGAAGGGAGATATCAGAACTTGCACGCACAAACAGGACACCCCTCAGGGCTCACCAAAGCCAGGTTCCAATCTCAGTTCTGCCCCTTCTCAGTTGGGTGACCTTGGCGAATGACAAGCCCCAGCACCTCAGTCTCTTTATCTCTGTGTGTGGATCATAATGGATGGTGGGAAAAATGAAGTAAAATGATACATAGAGAGCCCCTAGCACCTGGCACATAGTAACAGCAAGTAACCATGAGCTGTTAGGATTCCTCCCCAGTAGAAGGAGAATTTCATAAGGAAAGACACCCAGGCTGTCTTCTTTGCTACTGTATCCTCTGCACCTTGCATGTTGTTGTTGTTTGCCATCGAGTCGGCCCCGACTCATAGCGACCCCTCCTTGGGTTTCCGAGGCAGTATCACTACAGAAGTAGGAATGCCCAACCTTCCTTCCGAGGAGTGGCTGGTGGGTTTGAACCTCCAGCCTTCTGGTTAGCAGTCAAGTGCCTTAGCCACTATGCTACCAGAGTTCCTGCACCTTGCATAGAACCTGATATATTGTACCAGACCAAAGCAAACTCACTGCCATCAAGACAATTCTGACTCATAGCAACCCCCATTGGGTTTCCAAGGCTGTAAATCTTTACAGAAGCAGATTGCCTCATCTTTCTTCCACTGAGTGGTTGGTGGGCTCAAACCAGTGACCTTTTGGTTAGCAGCCAAATGCCTTAACCACTACACCACCTGAGCTCCTTGACACACACATTGTAGGTGCTCATTAAATACTTAGTGAATGAATGAGTGATGTGAAGTGGGTGGGTGGAGGCATACACGGATTGATGGGTGGAGAGGTGGGTGCTTGGACGGGGCTTTCTTAAACAAGGTGGCAGCCACAGCAGAGGCAGCAGAATGTGGGAGCACCCACATTCCACTTGTCCTGCCCCCAGCACAGCCAGGCATCAAGAGGCAGCTGCCCCTTACTTGACTGGCCCTTTGCCCCACCCAGATATTCCAAAGTCAAGCATTTGCTGAAGGACCTGGACGAACTGATGGAGGTGGTCCTGGAGAGGATTCTGGCTCCCGAGCCAAGCCATGCCAATGTCACCAAAGCCCTGAACTTCACTATCTGGAACCACACGCCCCTGGTCCTCATTGATGAGCGGGACCCCAGTCACCCAGTGGTCCTCGACCTCTTTGGGGAGGACTACAACGGCTCGGCAAGCAGCAGCCCAGCGCCAGGAAGGAGCTGCAATGCCCAGGGGTGCAAAGTGGCCATGAGACTAGTAAGTGGTTCCTGCGCACATGCTAAGCAGTGGGCTGATGGGAGTTTCTTTTCTTGAATGACTTGGGTCTTGCTGGGGAAAGGCAGGCTGGGAGCCAGGGCTTGTTTGTTTGCAGAATTTTGAAAGAAAATAGCAGACATGTAAGTTAACACTCTTCTGGATGCAAATGACCCAGCTCAAACTAAAGCAGAACAGGAATCTTCGTTGGTTCACTAAACGGAAAGCCCAGGGGTGCATTGAGTTCAGGTATGGCTGGAACCAGGTGCTCAAATGCTGTCATTAGGACCCTCTTTCTCCATCTGTTGGTTCAGCTTCTCCCCCATCTACTTCACTCTGGCAGGCTCTCTCTGCATGGGGGGCCCTGCCGATGCCAGGCTTTTATCCCACCGACTGACTCAGCCACCTCCATGGAAGAAGAGGTTACCTTTGAATCAGTCTTGACTCGTGGCGACCCCATGGGTGTCGGAGTGGAGCTGGGCTCCACAGAGGCTACAGGGGCTGGTTTCTCTGAAGCACATTATCAGATCTGTCTTCTGAGGTGCTTTTGGGTGGACCTGAACCCCTAGCCTTTTGGTCAGCAGCTGTGTGTGTTAACCGTCTGCACCACTCAGGATATAAATCAGCCATTGAAAGCCCTTTGGAACACAGGGCCACGTCTGGGCTGAGTCTTAGTGGTGACTTGCCTATCACGGTGGGCTGCCTGTGAGGACATGGAAGGGGCCCTGCACCCCCAGCAGGCTCAGGCCTGCCTGTCCCACCCAGAGCGGAGGAGAAGGGAGAGTCTCTTGAGTCTTGAGTGTCTTCGGGGTTCACACAGCCT